CCCCGCCCCGGCCCGCCTCCGAGCCCATCCCGGACATTCTGGCCCCGCCCCCAGCCTCCAGGCCCCGCCCCAGGCACTTTTTGCCCCGCCTCTGAACCGCAAGGCCACGCCCCCTCCTCCGCCTTGGGCCTCCAGACCTCGCCTCTGGGCACCTTTTGCCCCACCTGGGGACCTCCAGACCCCGCCCCCAAGCGCCTTTCGCTCCGCCTCCCGCCCACCTAGAGCGCTCCAGGCCCGCCTCGGACCCCGCCCACTTCCCAGAGCCCGCCTCCGCCAACTTAGAAGGCCCACCCCTCGGTTTTTCACACTGCTCGCTGGGTCATCCTAGACGCCAGCACCCACCGCTATCTCCTGGCTGGCCCTCGCTGTCTCCTTCCTCCTGTGCCCTCTGCAGGACCCCTCGGTCCTGAACGACCCTTCAGCTAGATTGAGCCTTCCATCATCGCCCCTCCAGGGCCCGCTCCCCCTCCTCACAGCCGCCCCGTGCGGGGTTTACTTTGTCACCTGCTTGCCTTCCTCCACGGAGTCGCCTCGGCCCTTTTCCTCTGCGGAACCCGGCAAGAGGTCACCTTCCCCAAAGGAGGTCTCCTGAGGCATGGTGGCAAGTCCTCCGCCCACCCTGACTGCTTACTCCTCTGCATCAGGCACCACCTCAGGCACCACCGTGCAGGGAGTGAGGGGGGGATGGGGGCGGCTTCCACTGCACAGCGGGGGGGCCACTCCTTGTCCTGCCCTGGAGGGGGGGAGGAGGGGGGTGGTCCTGAGGAAGGCCTAGTGCCTGGGGCGGTCATCCCTGGGAGCTGGTCTCTGGTGACAGGAAGAGCCGAGAAGCCGTGGAGGCTTCCCCAGCCTCACCCCATTTCCAGGGGCAGGTGGCCCATTCCCAGGGACAGGTAAAGTGGCCGCGGAGAGGCCGTGCAGCTGCCTCAGTGCACTAGACTCCATCAGCCCCCTGAGGTCATGCCAGCTTTGGCCCCAAGGGTGGGTCCTGCCCCCAGGCCCTGCCTGCCCCTGTCTGCCAGCCCTTGCACAACTCGCTCCCCTATTTCCTTTGGGTCCCATGAACTTCAGTCAGCTCCTCAATGAAGGCCCCCTGAGCCCCTTACCTAAAGCCCCGCATCCCCGCCTGCTCCAGCCCTTCCCGGTCTAGTCCTCTTCACAGCCCAGCACTCGCTCATCCTGGCCTCACATTAGCCGCTGGTGTTTCCCACAGAAAGGGGTCTGTCCTCCCGGCAACTGTGTTCCCAGCGCCTGCAACACCAGGCCAGCGCAGACACCTGCCACGGGCTAAATGTGTCTGCCACACTCAGCACCTGAAGCCCTGACTCCAGCGTGACTGTTCAGAGATGGGACCTCTGAGTGGGTAGTAAGGCTAAATGAGGTCATAGGGCGGGGGCTGGCATCCTGATGAAGACTCCCGGGTGCGCGCTCCCTCTCTCAGGCACAGCGAGGAGGCTGCCGTCCGAAAGCCGGGAAGAGAGCTCTCCTGAAACCACCCTGATCCTGGGCTTCCTGACCTCCTAAAGTGCAAGAAGATAGATTTGTGCTTAGGCCCACCCAGTACAGCGTTCTTCCACGGCAGTCAAAACAGACGGAGGCACCAATGTCCCTACTGAGGACGAGGGCTGCCTGGCACGCTGCCTGGCATGGAGCAGGCAGCTGACGATGAATGTCTGAGCAAACAAAGAAGGAAATGGGACAGTAAAGTCTCCTTGGGGGGCGTGGCTCTGGAGCAGCCCCAGCAGCAAGTGAGCGATCGGACCCTGCACAGGGCTCCCTAGTTTCGTGCCTCTGGCCCCTGGCTCCTCAGGGTCAGTCTGCTCCCTCCATGTCCACAGACTCAGGCACAGGAGGCTCAGTGGCAAGGCCAGTAGTGAGGGAGTGCCAGGCGATGACTGACCTTGGGTGTGTTTCTCTCCCCCAGGGGCCTGCACCCCCACCTATAAGAGGAGGACCCTAGTGGGAGGGTTAAGTCCTCTGGGTCTGAGTCTGGAAAACTGGTGCTTGAGAAATGTGGTGAGCAGAGCAAGGCCACAGAGGCTGGCGGGCCAAGTGGTCGTGTCCTTCTTGGCTTCCAAAACTCCACAGCATCCTCCACCAGTCCCACGGCCATGCCTGTGTCCACTCTCTTCTGGCCAGAAGTCTTTTCTGCTCCAATATGGTCGTCATCTTTGGGGCCCCCTCTCTGGGACGCTTTGCGGTTGGGTTGGGCCGAGGCAGTATATGCGCACCTGCCCCACAATCCCCCTTCCCGTCACTCCCCCCCATATTCACTTGGGCTCTCTCATCTTTATTTCCATAATGCTCCAGGCATTGTCCTCCGGATTTTCTGCTGTCAGCAAACTCCCACCTTTGGGGTTGGAAGCAAGCAGGGCTCCAGGCGTGTTCTGTCTACCTGAGCTGATTACAGAGCATGGTCAGTTCATGAAAGAGGATCAAGCTGTAACTTTGTGATTTGTTTGCACTTTTCGTCCTATTTTTAAAATTTTAAAAAATTTATCATAGGGTGCATGCCCTCACTAGAGAGAATAAAACGGAGAGAGAGAGAAAGTGAGAAATCACCCCCAGGGGAAGACCGTGCCGCAGTTCCTTTTCTTCCACTCTCCTCTCGGGATTTTGGGCATGCACACACATATGCCCACTGTGTATTTCAAGTCACCAGATCTGCGACTCAAACCACCTAGTCAGCCATATGGCACACAGCTGCCTTAACCTCCATACCACCTGGCTGGCCCTTCTCTGCACTTCCCTATATGCAAATATTCAGAACATAAAATAGAATTAAGGCCCAGCCACAGTGACATGTGCTGGGACTAAGACAGCTGGGACTACATGGAAGGTCCAGGTTCAATTCCTGATCCAACCTAAAGGCTGGGGTAGTAGCATGCACCTGTAATCCTAGCAACTCGAGGAGGCTGAGACAAGAGCCCGGGCCAGCTTTGTGAGCTCAAAGCTGGCCCAGGCAACCTTGAGAAAGACCCTGTGAAAAAGGAGTTGGCCTGAGGGTGGGAACTGTAGTCCCAGACCAGAGGACCACAATGGCAAGATCCTGTCTTAAAATAAGCAAATGAATTAGAATGAAAAATAAAAAGATTTGGGACCAGCAGGTGGCATAGTGGTTACATCATTGGCCTCCCACATGGCTGACTGTGGTTCAAGTCCTAGACCCGGCAGCTTGAAACTCATGCTGAGTGCATGTGCATGTGTGCTCAAAATCCCAAGAGGAGCATGAAGGAGAAGGGATTGCAGCATGATCAGCCCCCCAAGAGGTGATTTCTTGCTTTCTTTCTGTCTCTCAGGCAAGTGTATGTGCCCTATAGCAAAAATCTCTCTTAAACAAACAAACTAATTAATTAATTAATTAAAAGATTTGAAATCCTCAACAAAAAAAAAAAAATTCTGGGTCCAGCAGGTGGCCTGGGAGTTAAGGCACAAGACTCCCACATGGCCAACCACAGTTCAAGTCCCAGACCTGATGGCTTGCTTTCTCAATTTTTCTTCTCTCTCTCGTGAGCTCATGTACCCTATAACAAATTTAAAATTTAATAATATTAATAATAAAATTAATTATTCTTTTAAAAATTCTAATTTAGCCATATATCCTATGACAATGAAAATGATCTTTTCTTCAAAAGATGTGAAATACACTTTTAGAGTGACCGCTGAGAAAAAGAGCTATGTCAGCAGAATAAGGGCCCCAAAGATGTCCATGCCGTCGTCCCTGGAACCTGTCACTATGTTACCTTACCTGGCCAAACAGACTTTGCAGGTGTGATTAAGAGTACGGATGCTGAGATGGAGAGTTACCCTGAACTGTCCAGGCAGGCCCAATCTAATCCCACAAAGTCTTCACGTTGGACAACATTAGTGAATGCCCAGAGCAGAGTAGTTTAAACAGCCTCAGCCACTGAGCACAGGTTCAAAGGAGCTTCCACTCAGCCCTGGAAGCCAGTTCCTGCTGCTATCACGTGAGTGTGTACTAGTGGCTTCCCCACCGCTCATGACTCATGCTTCTCCTCTGCCCGGAATCCCTGCCCTAGCCTCTTATTCATCTGGGAAGTTCAGTCCAGCCACCCCAGATCTAAATTGCAGCAGCTCCAACACTGGCCTTTTCATACCTGCTACGAAGGTCGAAGGTCAAGGAACTACCCTGGCAAGGTCCCATCATCTCCCTTCTGCCATCCTCCTGCCCCTTTCCATCCACACACACCCACTCTTCTTAGCCTCGGCTATTGTCAGAAATGCCACCGATAGCGCTCTGCTCCTTTTAAATAGATCCCTGCTAAAATTCCTCAGGGAGGCACTAGCCTTAAAATTATTATTAGGCCTATTATTGGGTCCTGAAACCTTGGTGAGGAAACAGGATTCAGAATGTTTTTAGTTTTTTTGGTGGTGGTTGTTTGTTTCTCTTTTTTCGCCAGAGAGCACATGTGCTTGCCGGAGAGAGAAAATCAGAGAGTGAGGGAGAAAGCACTACCTGCCCCCCGACGGGGCATGGTCACGCTGCAGTCCCTTCTCCATTCCTCCATCCATCCTGTCAGGATTTGAGGCATGCACACACACACACCTGACATGCTTCTCAAGCCCAGGGGCCAGGATTCAAGCTGCACAGTCGGTCAGGCGGGATCTGGCTCCCTGAACCACCTGGCCACCGGCTGGCCTGGCTTCAGAGATGCCGAAAGAGGAAGTGCCTGGGGGTTCTAGGTGCCGGGCAGATACACACCACTGCTCCTGCAGGACCTGCCCTGTGCCCGGCTCGTCAAGGGTATAGCCCAACCTCTGGGGAGGGTGCTGGGGGGCAGGGAAGGGTGAGCCAGGGGGAAGCTGGCACCCGCCCCCTTTCCTGCCTCCTCAGGTTGGGCCCCAGGGCGCTTGCGTGGAGGCTATTTCCTCTGTCACAAACACGCTGTCTCTGTGCCCTCACCTGAGCCTTGGAAGCAACTAGCGTTGTCTTCGTGCAATGAGGTCAGCCCAACCCAGAGAGGCTGAGCGGTGCTCCAAATCACACAGCTGCTTCGGCCTGGAGCCAGGACTCCAACCCTCCTGAGGCCAAGAAGGAGGAGACGTCAATACACACTCCGCATGGCTTCGATGGCTCTGCTGTGGTGTCAGCAGGGAAGGTCCATTGGGGTGACTGGTCTTGGAGGGAGCCCACCACATGGGACTGCAAGACGGCTTCATAGCTGGGAAGTGGGGTGTAGGTCCTCCAGGGCAGGGAGTGAGGCCAACGGTGGGCAGGAAGAATAAAGGAAGACATTTGATCACCAGGAGCCCAAGGATGAGCATGGTTTGATCTGGGCAGAGCCCTCTGGATGGAAATCTGTCGGCGGGGAGATGGTGGAGGAAGGGCTGGACAGTGGCACAGTGGGAAGACACGGCGCTCTGTGAGGCAATTCCGTATGGGGAGGTCCCTGGTTCAAGTCCAGAGACATGGGCACAAGTATGCCCACAATTGAGAGCTGGCTGAGGCTAGGGTGGGTCATGGCATGGGGGCTCTGTCAGGGATCTCTCTCTCTCTCCGTTAGAGAAAGAGTTAATCAATTAATTAATTAGAAAGGAGAAGGAGGAGGCAAAGCTATTCTAGATGTCCCCTTGGGCCTTTCTAGCCCGACCTCTGAAGATGGCGCGGGGTTGGGGGTGAGGAGAGCCCGAGCACGAAAGCTAGCACCCGCCTCCCTTTCCTGCCTCTCCAGGTCCTGCTCCCAGGGCTCCTGCGTGGAGGCTGTTTCCCTTGTCACAAACACGCTGCCTTTGTGCCCTCACCTGCCAGCCTTGTTATAGGCCATGACCCAGGGGAGCCTACCCAGCCTCCCTCGGGGCAGGACCCTCCCATGTCTCCAATGGCACCCCCTAGCACGCACAGCCCGCAGCTCCGGGGTGGAAGACAATGGACCTGCTCACTGCCCTGTGCATAACTTAGAACCAACCTGCAGCAGGCACCGCTTTACTGCTCAGGCTCACGGGCCCACAGGGGTGACGAGAACCCTCTTAATGACCAGCATTGGGTGCCAATATAAAATCAAATGGCCACATTCAAAGTAACGGGCCAGTCACTGGTGTGGCAGTAAAGGTGGCTGGATCTCACATGGCCGACTGTGCCATTCAAGACCCGGACCTGGCGACTCGAAAACACACAGGGCGTGTGTGCATGCGTGCCAAAATCCAGGAAGGAGAAATGGAGGAGAAGAGATTGTGGCATGACCATCTTCCATGGGGAGGAGGGTTTTCTCACTTTCTCTGTCATGAACACACAAGTATATACTCCTGTGGCAAATGTTTTTTAAAAATTAATACATAGCTTTTTTTAAAAAAAAAATGCCTACAAGATGTAAGGTCGTGTCCTCTATCTCTCTCTCTCTCTTTGTTCCCCATAGGGTATGTGCGCCCACCAGAGAGAGAGAGGGAAAGTGAACGATGACCCTCCAGGGGAAGGACCATGCTGCAATCTCTTCTTTTCCATCACCCTCTTGGAATTCGAGGCACTCACACACATGACCAGGTGTGATTTTCAAGCTGCCAGGTTCAGGACTCAAACCGTGGTCAACCATGTGGGAGTCTAGCACCTTAACCACCAAGCCACCTGCTGGCTCCAGGTTGTGTCATCTTTATCTTTGATTTGGTATTCATAAAAATTTCACTACACTTGAGAACTTTTTGTTAGATTTCCTCATGCAGTAAGAAATCTGAGGGTGCCAGGGGGCCGATGAGAAATCAGAAACCACAGGTTATGGAATTTTAGCTTATTTAGCAAACATGCATGCAAGGCTTAGCCCTGTCCTGGGCACTACATAGTCACTTCATAGTCATCCATGCACTGAATTCCGTGAGTAAGAACCATCGTTAACCCTGTTTACAGATGAGGAAACTGAGGCACAAGAGGTTGTCCGAGGCAGTTAGGTAGCCGAGGAAAGTCAAAAGCAAGATTGCAGAAATGTTTTCAGAACATTTGAGGGAAAATGTACACTTGCGAAGGGTGTCTTCATGTTAGAGATGGCCTGGGCCAGGCTTCCTACAGCAAGAGCAGCTCAGGACGACGGCCTCCGGACAGTCCCGTCCTCTAGCCTCACCCTGGGGACTGCACAGAAGCAAACATGGATGAAAGAAAAAAAATTAACTCACCTTCCCTTTGGAGGGAGCGTGTGGAGAGGGAGCTGGTGCTGGTTAATAACACCCAGTGTGGGGCCAGCAAGTGGCACAGTGATTAAAGTGCTGGATTCCTGCATGGTGGACCGCGGCTCTAGTCCTGGATCCTGCAGCTTGTGAATCACAGTGGGCACGTGTGTGTACCCGCCCAGGGTTCCAGGAGGAGAGGCGAGGAGAAGGGATTGTGGCACGGCCGTCCTCCCTGGCAGGTGATTTCTCACTTTCTCTCTCTGTATCTCTCCAGCAAGTGCAAGCACCCTATGGCAAAACCTTTAAAGAAAACAAAAACCACTCATCCTGGCCAGCCACGGGGCACCACAGAAGCACAGGACTCTACAATGCTGAAACCATGTGAGAGGGTCCCAGTTGGCTTCCCGAGGCCTCCCTGTACACACCGGCACTTGTGCACCCATGACCCTGGCTGGCTGAGGCTGGGTCTAGACTGTGGCCTGAAGATCTTGTTGAGTATCTCTCTCTCTTTCAAAATAAATAAATGACTTTTTTTTTTTTTGAGAGGTTTTTGCTATAGGGCGTGTGTGCTCGCCAGACAGAGAGAGACATAGAGACAGAAAGCGAGAAATCACCCCCCAGGGGGGATGGTCACGCCGCAATCCCTTCTCCATTCTCCTCTTGGGATCTTGGGCAGGCACGCACACGCGCCCGGCGTGAGTTTTAAGCCACCGGGTCCGGGACACGAACCGTGGTCAACTACGTGGGAGTCCAGCGACATAACCATTACGCTAACTGCTGGTTCCCAATAAATGAATTTTAAATAATAATAATAACAACACCCCATGGGCCCAGCAGGTAGCAGGGGGGTTAAGGTGCTGGATCCCACATGGCTAGCTCTGTGGTTTGAGTCCTGGACCTGGCCCTTTGAAAACCAAGTCAGGCACGTGTGAGCATGTGCCGAAAGTCCTGAGGAGACTGGAGGAGAAAGAATTACGGCTTGGCCATCCCCTTTTAGGGGTGATTTCTTGCCTTCCCTCTTCCCTGCCTCTGTCTCTCTCTGGCAAGCACATGCAACCTATAGCAAAAACTAAAATAAAAAATAAAGAAAGATGAAAAGAAATAACAACAATGTCTAGCACTAGACTGAAGTCTCTGTCCAGCTGGTTTAACCCTCAGGTTAGGTGACTGTGCCCTCATCATCTCTATTTCACTTTTAAATTAAAAAAAAATATTATAGGGACCAGCAGTTGGTGTAATGGCTATGTCGCTGGACTCCCATGTAGTCGGCCCCAGTTCGAGTCCCAGACCCAGTGGCTTAAACTCATGCCAGGCGTGTGCATGTGTGTGCCCAAGATCCGGAGAGAAGAATGGAGGAGAAGGGATTGTGGAATGGCCATCCCCCCAGGGGATGATTTCTCGCTTTCCGTCTCTCTGCCTTTCTCTGTCTTTCTGGCAAGTGCACGCACCCTACAGCAAAAACCTCTCAAAGAAAAAAAAATATTTTGGGCAGGCCCCATGGCCTAGTGGTTAAATTAGTCCAAACCCCTCTTGGCACACTGCATGGCTTGAGTTAAGGTCCTGGCAGCTTGGAAAACAAGCCAGGCTTGTGTGTGTGCCCCAAATCCCATCAGGATGGAGCAATGGAGATGGGATTGTAGGTGGGACCATGCCAGTGGGGGCGCTGTCCTCCTCCCGTCTCTCTCGGGCTCTTTCCACTGAGCACACATATCCCTCTGGAGACAAAAAAAAAAAAAAAAAAAAAAAATTATTTTTATCTAAAACATGTATTTTAGTGAGCACACATATCCCTCTGGAGACAAAAATAAATAAATAAATAAATTATTTTTATCTAAAACATGTATTTGTCTGCTCATTTTTTCCATGAGAGAGTGAAGGTCACATGTGGGTCCAGCATGGCCACCACTGCGCCACTGCCTGGCCCTGGGCTCCACTTTACGGTGAGAAAACTGAGGCTCAGAGATGCTAGTGGCTCATGCGGGGGCACAGCCAGGGCTTGGCGCCATGAGGAGCCTGGAGAGCCGTGCAGAGCCTGGCAGTGCTTGGGCAGGAGCGCTCTGGCTCACGCAGGTGTGTGGACGGATATGTCTGGCACACGCTGGGCTGCGTGCAGGTCCGTGTGGCACCCTGGAAATGGCCGGTCTTCGCAGCCTCCGTCATTCTGAAGACCCAGCTGGGCAGGTGTTGTCATTCATCTGCTCTGTCAGCACCCCCACCTACTGGGGCAGGCACTGAGGGCTGGTCTGGGGAACACAGGGAAGCCTGAGGCCAGGCCTCAGTGTAATCAGCCGGCAGGCTGCTCCGTGTTCCAGTCCTCTCTGCTGTTAGTAACAGAAGATGTCTGCTTCGGGGTTGTTGACGGAAACAGAAGTGTGTTCAGCTCACAGGTGGGAGGTCCCAGGTCCACAGTCACACCCAGTGAGGGGCTTCTGGCTGTGCCACAGCCTGGTGGGGGACAGGCGCACACGTACTGGTGCCCCGAGTCTCTGCTGGGCTCACGCCCTCTCTGCATAACCCACCAGGAGTCGATTTTGAGGGCCACACCCTGATCACAGAATCACCCCCAAAGAACCCACTTTTTTATTTATTTATTTATTTATTTATTTTGGCTATAGGGTGTGTGCACTCACTGGAGGAGTGTGGAGGGAGAGAGACAAAAACAGAGAGAGAGGGAAAGCAAAAAATCACACACACACACACACACACACACACCACATCCGAGGGATGGCCATGCAGTAATCCCCTCTCCTCCTGGAGTTTTGGGCATGCAAGCACACACACCCGGTGAGCTTCTCAAGCCGGTGGGTCTGGAACTCAAATCATGCAGTTGGCCACGTGGAGTCCAGCCGCCTTAACCTCTGCGTCACCCGCTGGCCCTTTATAATTTACTATAAGATGTGCTTACTTCACCAGAGAGACAGAGACAGAGACAGAGAGAAAGTGAGAAATCGTCCTCCCAGGGGATGACAGCACCACAATTCCTTCTCCTCAGTTCTTCTCTTGGGATTTTGGGCATGCACACACAAATGCTTGGCGTGTTTCTCAAGCCACCAGGTCCAGGAGTTGAACTACAAAGTTGGTCATGTGGGATCCAGCTGCCTAACCACCATGCCACCTAGCTGACCTTTTAACACCATGAAGGTGTTAAGTTTCCTCTTTTTTTTTTTTTTTTTTTTGGGGAGGTTTTTGCTCCAGACAGAGAGGAGAGACAGAGAAACAGAAAGCGAGAAATCACCCCCCAGGGGGGATGGCCATGCCGCAATCCCTTCTCCTCCGTTCTCTCGGGATCTTGGGCACACACGCACATGCACCCAGCCTGAGTTTTAAGCCACCGGGTCCAGGACGCGAACCGCAGTTGACTACATGGAAGTCCAGTGACATAGCCATTACACCAACTGCTGGTCCCCTTAAGTTTCCTCTTAATACCTTAACAATCAAGTTCTCTCTCTCTCTCTCTCTCTCTCTCTCTCCAGAGGGCATGTGCTCACCAAATATGCATGCAGAGAGAGAAGCACCACTCAATGCAGTTGGTTATACCACAGGTTCCTTTTCTCCACTCTTCCCTCCTTCCGGAT